ATTACAACAAGCAAGGTTCCTATCATAAATGATGGAACGGTGCAATATATAAATTCTACAGTAGATGCCTCATTAGTGAAAGTACTGAATGTTCTCATTGAATTGTTAAAGAGCTTTCGATTTGACGACAACATTAAATGCTTAAAGAATTTAGTCATGAATGAGAAACAAATTCTTTGGCGTTGCTGGTAGCAGTAATGATGTACACCTTATGACATTAGAATATTATAACGAACATAAAGATGAACTGAAAGGAGAGAAGGGTGACACCGGACCTCAAGGACCACAAGGAATACAAGGAATACAAGGAATACAAGGACCTCAAGGCGAAAACGGTTTTGGATGGAAAGGATGGAAAGGATGGAAAAACTGCTAAATCATGGATATGGGACCTTATAAATACTGGTTTAACAGCTGCTTCATATGGAGTTCTTCAATACCAAATCGGAAAGATATGGGCAGTACTTGGTGAAGAAGTTTAGATGACGTTAAAAATGCTTTGAACTTCATTTCAAATGGTTCGGATACTATTAAAACTTTATCTGGTTGGATGCAAGAAACAAGGAGTCAAATAGATACTGTAAGACGTATAGCAAACAATGCACGTACGGGATTGGATACTTTACGACAAGCACAAAATACACTAAAGGAAGCAATGATATTCTTGCTCAGTATCAGACATGCATGAAGATTGGCTTAAAGGTATTGACAAATCTTTTAAAATCACAGTCAGTCTATTGCTGACTACAAGAGTATAGATTTTTTACATAGTGCTATGGACGTACATGATGGAAGCATAAGGAACTTACTTAATGCTAACAATAACTTACCAGGAACTATTAAAGCATTTATAAAGTCCTTTGTAAAACCCGGTGCTCTAACATTTAGGTCTTTGAGAGCAAGAGCATTGAAGTCAAGAGATGCAGAAACTCCAACAGAAGAACTGAAACAACAGAAACTCCAGAAGAACCACCAAAACCAACAGCTAATGAAATATTGTTCGAATATTTTCCAAGGTACTCTGTTCTCATTGCATACATTCAAGAAATACTTAAGAAAGCAGACTTGACTTTAGGAGATGATGAAAGTTCTGTATATCTTTCGTTCCAGTTTCAAATAGCAGAACTTTTGAGACAGATATGCTTAATGTATGACAACATCTCTGATTTCACAAGATATGATGACGACCATGACCCCGAACACGGTGAAGAAGAAGTTTTACAAACATCCATTAAGACAGGAAGGTTTTAACACAAAGTCTCATTATTGACACCAAAGATGGCGAAGTGGACGTTCTTCAAGAGCTGAAGAAAAATACTTCTTCGGGAGGTGTGGTAGGCATGAACTTGAAATAAATGAGATAGAAGAGAAATTAGCCGAAAAAGCAGATAAAGAACATAAACACAATATCTCCGATATAAATGAACTTCAAGCTACATTAAATAGTAAAGCGGACAAAAATGAACTTGACGCAATGAACAAAGTTTTGAAATCTCATAAACACAATATCTCCGATATAAATGAACTTCAAGCTACATTAAATAGTAAAGCGGACAAGAACCATGTTCATTATATAACTTCAGACGAACAGATTATAACGGACTACCATGGATATTTAACACGAAGTGATGAAGCGAAGACAAAAATGTTAATGAAAGAAGATATAAATACATTCGTGCTAAAGGTTATGACATAAGCTGTACTGTACAGTATGATGTAGCTAAAGCACCAGAAGCATTTGGTTATACCGGTGAAATTTATGCCTCTACTTTCAATGTTAACGGTGTATTAGTTGAACCAAGATTTACTTTGAGAGTTAAGTCAAAAATAACGTTTGAAGATGCTATTAAAAGTAAAGCTGACAAAGTTGAACTCGAAGCAATGAACAAAGTTTTGAAATCTCATAAACACAACATCTCCGATATAAATGAACTTCAAGCTACATTAGACAGTAAAGCCGACAAGAACCATACACATAAATCCTTCACTACTGTTAGAGCAGACGACATAATATTGAACTTTGACCTTGGTTCAAATGCACCATTAGAAAATCCAAGTACAAGCGTAAAAGATACTCTTAACAGTTTAGATAACAGTTGCAGGAACATTGAAAGTCATGCCAGAAACTTTGAAGCATATGAACTACCAGCAATGTTAGATAAGAAAGCAGATAAAACTTATGTGGATGCAGAACTAACAAAGAAATTTTCGAAACCAGATACAATGACATTTACAACAGAAATTATAAATGGTGAACCAGCAACTCCATTTGAATTTGTTAGAGGTCTTCAACCAGATACTTTTGAATTTTTCTTGGATAATTCTATTGAACTAACATTACATTATAAAAGTGGAACAAATGCAACATTTCATCCGGAGATACATTCCAAATGGTATTTAATGACATAAGTTCTTTAGAATATGTTTATAGAGTTATGAGCATATATGATTTAATATATCCTATAGGAGCTGTTTATACGTCTATGAATCCAATAAATCCAAACACTTTATTTGGTGGTAGATGGTATGAAATAGTTGACAGTTTTCCATTCTACACTAATACGCAGTCAATGAAGATGGGAGGTTCAAAGAAAATAGGTATTGAAAACCTTCCTTCACATATGCATAGGTTCAGTGGAAGAACATCTGTGGAAGGAAACCATTCACATTCAATAACAAAAAGAGGTTATATAAATCTTGCAGCGGGTTCGAATAGACAGGGAATGAACAGATATGATATCTCAGATGACCCCAAAGATGTTAGCACAGGTATTTTCTGTGGAACTGCAGGAAATCATACACATGTTGTAGCTGGTATTACAGACCCAGCAGGTAATGAAAAGATTATATGCCTCCTTATATAACAATGCACGCTTGGATACGAGTTGGTTAAAATCTTTAACTTTACATAAATGAGCTTGAAAGAAGTATTCGAACAACATCCATGGAGGTCATTTAAGAAGTTCAATGAAGCTGCAAAGAGTTGGGGATTTACTAACAGAGCTGAAGTTAAAAGTTCTTTGACAAAAATGTTGTACATCAAACAAAAATAAACCCTTACGACTACTTTTTACCAATTTACTCCAACACTCCTGACGCATACCAATTTGACACTCTCATTCAAAGCAGAAAAGGAGGACATAAACCATTCCTCATCTTCATAAATGTTAACACTCGTAAAGCATATGCATATCCAATGAAATAAAGGAACTCGTGAAGTGTTAAGAGTTTTTACAAAAGTTTGTAGCAGAACATAACCCAAGTACTTTAACATCAGACCAAGACAGTGCATACCTCAGCAATGAAATCACAGAATTTCTCATTAAGCATAACATAACTCACTACACTACTGAAGACCATAACCATAACATACTCGGCATCATAAACCGCTTCATAAGGACTCTCAGAGATTTAAACCAAGAGCGAGACTTTACCGAAGAAACAATGAAACATTTTCTCGAAGTATATAATTCCTCAACACATTCTACAACAGGACATACACCAAATTCAATGACACAACAACAAGAAGAAAAGTATATACAAAAGAAACGAAGCCAAACACAAAATATCAGAAATTCAACACAATTTACCCTCATTCCTGGTACAAAAGTTCGTGTAGTTCTTGACGACAAACCGTTGACAAAGAAACGTTTAAGGTTAAGTCGAAATTATTATATTGTAGACTCTACGCAAGGTAATGGATATCTTATAAAAGCTGCCGACGACTCTATTGCGTTTTATCCTCGACATAAATTAGTCGAAAGTAGTAATGGCAAACTTGCTGAAACCATTGACGAAGCAAAGCGAGGAGTGGTTATTGAAATACTTGGCTATAACACAAACGATGACACTTATAAAGTAAGATATGAAGGAGGCGTTGAAGATGTTATACCATCTAAGAACTTGAGAGAGTCGAAGCCAACACATCTGGGACCATTAGAGCGGGAGTACTGGAAAGACAAAAATATGCCAGAAAGAATAAGAAAATTCTTCTAAACTTTTTCATTAGATGTAAATCAGACAAAAATAAATTTTTAGGTGAAGAGGTTAGATCTCACCTGTTTTTTCACCTCTTTTTTCACCCGTGAATTTTCATGAATTTTCACAAAGAAAAAATAAAGTTAGTTTTATTTTTTTTTTATTTTTTATTTTGTATGTAAGAACAGAAATGTCAGTCGAAGCAAAAACATTCACGAACAAATCTAATGGTGAAACATTCACAAAAGGCACTTATAACGGTATTGAAGTCTTACGTAGAGACAAGGATGGTTACATTAATGCAACAAAGATGGCAAGAGAAGCGGAAGGTTAAACCATTTAAACAGATTTCTCAATAGTACTAAAATGCAGGAAATTCTTGAGTTTTGGATGAACGAATACGGTGAGCCAAAAGTGGCTCGACCTCAAAACAAGCATTTTATGAGCTTACTAAGGGCGTTATGAATGAATTCAAAGGTATTTACATACATGCTGACCTCGTTCATTTTGTTGCTGAATGGTGCTCTGTAAAGTATGCATTTTATGTCAAAGATATTATGGACTCCATAGACAAGAAAGTTCATGAGAAGTTAGATGAAGAAGAACTCGAAGATACAGTAGAGAATGCTAAACCTTTGTTCGAAGAAGAAGTTGGAAAAATGTGTGAAAAACAATTAGAACATGAACGTGAGATATGTTATGGTTATAGAGATTCTCCATACGAACTAGACCAATGGGAACAAGAAGATTTAAAGAGAGAATTTAGAGAATATGAACTCGCTAAGATAGCATTTGAAGCTGCAGAAAAGAAGTTAAAAGTTTGGGGTCGTTTTGTAAAAAAAATATTGTGAGTAAATGAACCATTTATTTTTATTGAATTCACCAAAAATAATGTTTAGGTGAAGAGGTGAGATGTCACCTCTTTTCTCACCTGTTTTTTCACCTCTGAATTTTCATGAATTTTCCAAATAAAAAATAAAGTTAGTTTTATTTTATTTATTTTTTATTTTGTATGAAAAGATATGATTTCAACAATCGGCACAACAACAATACAAGCCGCGAACGGCGGGACTCTGTCCACAACAACAGCACCAAACTCGTTAGTCATGAATCCTACGTCAATGTTAGTAGAGATGAAAAACTTCATTCCTTCTTCATATACTTTCGAAACAAAAATCCAGAAGATAAAGCAAGAACTTTTAACAAGTAATTTAGACTGTAGTGCGAAAGATGAAGAAAATGAAGAATATCTTTATGAAATGCAGGACATTATTGACCATTTACCCAAATTGCCTGAAATCCAACAACAAAAACTCACTATTCCTGAATTCGACGAAATTGAAGTGAAACCAACTGACTCAGTAGAAATAAAGAAGTTCATACGTAAAGTAAATTATGAATTCCTTGGTTTTCATTGCAACCATAAGGTTATGGACAAAGATTGCGACATGGTATATAAAAACATTTCTGACATATATAAATCTGAGGAGTTTAAGACTTACGATAACTTTGTTTCATTAGTTGCAAAATGTGTTTGGGAAATAAGAGATAAAGATAGAAGAGGCAAAGTATGGAACGAACAAATAAGACCCGCTATGTTTGAGATGAAGAGAGCAATTGACGCCTTAGTTGTTTTAGCTGGTTTTATTTCAATGTATAACGCAAAAATGAACCCGCAATGTTCAAAATGTAAGGCAGCAATTAGGAAATATAACTACTCAGTCAAAGAGATAGAAAGAATGAGAAACGACTATGCAGACTTAAAGAAAGAAGCAGAAAAGCCAGCAGAAGATAAAATGAACATGTTAGAATTTCTGAACAAAAACTATCCAACAGCAGAAGATTTCCTTCTATCTGACGTCAAGAAGAAGTATAAAGAAACCTTCGGTATTGTTAAAACTTTTGACATACTGACAGAAGAAATAGAAGCTACGAAATTGTTTAGGATTTCAAATATACATCGTACAATTCATGTAAAACGCTTGTGAAAAAACTGGGGTGAAAAAAGAGGTGAAAAAACAGGTGAGATCTCACCTCTTCACCTAAATTATATTTTTGTTCAAAGCTTCCACGAGAGAAAAGATTCCTCATTCGCTAAGGATTCCAAAAATGAAAAAATCATTGATTTCGGCTGAGAAAAAACAGCAAAACCCTTCTTCCACGGGAACAAAGAAATAAAGAAGAAATAAAGTAAATTTTTTATTTATTCCCGTGGAAGATAGAGCACTTTTATGACACTTTTTATTCACGACAAACAAGACAAACAAAGAAAATAAGAAAATACGGCGCTGTCGCGGTTCGAACCACAGACTCTGACCCCTCCATAACACCACCTTAGACCACTGTGCTACGTAGCCTGTCGACATAAGATTTTATAAATTGCATATTTGACGTAAATTTATTTCCATCTAGCTTCCCACCGCATAAGATATTCATACGTGTTTGTAAGACATTCATTAAACTTCTTTTCTATTGCATCTAATCTTGCGTTATTTTTTTCAATAGCTTGTCTGTATTCTTCATCATCTCCAGCAGTGTTTGGGTCTTCACGTTTAAAATATTCATTGTTAACCAATTTTTTATCTACAAATTTTATTAGTGTTTGATTCACTTCGTTATGATAACGGTCATATTCTTTCAATACGTAAGTGAAGACAAAATGCGTCGTACCTTCAATCTTAAAGCTTAAAGAACTTTCAACACAGTTTTGAGGGTCTGTCAGTGCGTCAATGAGATAGTATTCGAAGTCAGTCAATAATCTTTTTAAAGTCATTTCATACAGGATAAAATTTAATGTTGTGAAGAAATAGTGTTTATCTCAGAAAAAATAACGCTAATTTTATTTTTATTTATTTTTTTATTTTGTATGTAAAGACAGTAATGACAACATCAGAGAACACAACAACAGTTATAGTCCATGAAGCAATAAATGAAGAATACGAGTACATACAATATAACAAACAGTTACGTCTCATTCGTTCAGTCAAAGATGACATGTACCAAATGCAAAGTATTTTGACAGCATGTTATGCTCCAGATACTAAACTTCCTAAAGACTGGTTTAGGAACCAAAGCACTATTGAACTATTAAATGAAGCACAGCGAGACATACTTTTTTCTGAAAACAGTGAAGAACAGCGAGTAGGTAAAAAACCCCAGTCGCCAAAACTCTATGAAAATCGTGAAAAATTGCCAAACGGTTTGAGAGGATATTATGTTCATAGACTTCTCGTAAATGTTGTAGCAATGTGGGCTTCACCTCGTTATGCTTGGTATGTTTGTAAACTTCTTGACGAAATTCACAGACAAGAACGCGAACAGATGGAAAAGAAACTTCAAGCAAAAGATGAAGTCATTGAATCCAAAGACAAAAGCATACAGAAAAGAATACCACGTTCAGTACCAAAAGGAAAGGAAAAGAGTTATAAGTATATGATTTACGCTGAAGAGATGGAAAATGAAGAAGACAGAGATATGGTTATGTTGCATTTAGTCAGAAGAAACAACAAAAGCTTTTATGACCTTGCTAAGATTTACAAATCTGACAGAAACTGGTTCTATCGTGAAAACTTACCGATTTCAATGACACCGAATGAGCAAATAAAGAAATTGTCAAAAATACTCTTCCTCAAACACACTATGACATCAAAGGTTGCACAATACTTACATTCAAAGAAGACTTACCATTGTTAAAGGAAAAAATAACAGAGTATTTCGATAACTTCAAAGAGGAAGAATGAAAATCTAAGCTAATTTTATTTTTTTTATAAAATTTTATCTCATATGAAAGAACATGAATTTAGAATATTCGGAACTCATGACAGAAGAGGAGAACGAACAGCATGTAAAAGATTATGCAAAATTTATGAAGACATACAAAGCATTTAAACAATATCTAAATGCTTCTAAAGATTATGCAAAATTTCTGAAGGTATATAAAGCTTATGAAAAAGCGTATGAAAAGTTTATACATTGGGGAATTGTTGTAAAATATCCATATGAAGACTAACCAAAAATATATTTTTGCTTAAATAGCTTCAGGGTCAATTTCTTCAACCATTTCACTTCCTTCGTCAATGTCAATTGAAGCTTCTTCAACCTTTGGTAAGAATTTCTGTATAACATCTTTGTTCGTTATTGTCTTCAGAGATGAAGGATAATATTTCACATTTGTTTCACCCTTCTTATATTCTTTCTGTTCGGAAAGATTCATAGCAATACTGAAGAAGTCAATGTTAGAGTTCTTTATGACAGTATAATGAGTATCTTTGACATTCACGAAGAAACTCTTTTGTTTCAAAACTACTGCTAACTCTTGTGAAGTATAACGTTTGCGGTCAATGACGATAGCTAATGGTCTGACATACTGACCAAACTTAGATTCTTTCACAAACTTCTTGTTAAAGATAATATTAACATTTGAAGCATTATTGAACTCATTCTTGATGGCAGTAGCGAGAGCATTGTATGAAAAGAACTTGCAATCTTGCATGTGTTTCATTAAAATAAAAATATTAAATTATTTTGAAAAATAACTTAAAAAAAATCTAATCTAATTTTTTCAAAAATATTTTTTTTATTTCCTACTAAAGATGTATCGGAAGTTGTCTAAGTTAGAACACTCGGAAATAAAACAACTTCTTACAGAAGCTAATATAGATGTTGCAAAGCATTACGCAACAAACAAAAAAGCACTCGCTGACTTCATTAAAGACTATAATGGTGCAATAAGTTATGATAGAATTCATGAGTTCATAAAGCCGCAACGCGGCGAGGACGAAGTCCATGCAATAGCATTTCCTTTAAATGACGTTGCTATTGACTTATATCATAGACGTTCAGTACCTCATGAAGTAAGAAGAGAGATGTTTGACATAACAAATGCGAACGTTGGTCATACTCGTAAAGCTCTTTCGCATGAAGTAAGAAGAGAAATGTTTGACATAACAAATGCGAACGTTGGTCATACTCGTAAAGCTCTTTCGCATGATGTTCGTCAAGAGATGTTTGACATAACAAATGCGAACGTTGGTGAAACAAGAAGAAGAGACGACACACTGAAACAACAGAGAAGAGAGATGTTTAAGAGCGCTATAGAACAAGTTCGCAAAGCTAACGATGTCATTCGTTCCATTGACGACAAACCAAAAGAAGGTGAGAGATGGTTAAAGAAAGATGAAGAGAATAGGAAGAGAAATGTGAAGTCAGGCAATAGACTCATTGACTTTAACATCGAAGCTTTAGATGAACCAAACAGAGACTACTTACACAAACATTTCGGTAAGGTTTTCATGAGACTCTTAGAGAAAATTAAAATAAACTCACAACAGAGATGGATGGTATGTTATAAACTTGGTGGAAAGTATGAATGTTCTACGTTAAACCTCAATAATATTGGAACATTACTACATCAGCTCTTGAAGGAGAACTTTATATCAGAGATAGAAGCAAATGCCGCAGGTATTGTTGAAATGCACTATGACTTCTTCTTGACAAACATAAAGAATCTTACGAAATAAAGATGTATGATTTAACAGAATATGAAGGCTTAACGATGTCAGATGTAAAGAAAGGCAAACCAAAAAAGAGACCATATAGAGATGAAAGCACACTGACAAATGACCAGAAAGCCATTTTGGAAGCTCTTAAGCAAACAGGAAACCCAGCACTTATAGAAAGCTTTTGGAAAGATAATGGTGAAAAGAAGTTTTATAAGAAGAGAAGCGGTCAGTTCTGGAAGTATCTTTGCACATTACCTATAAATCTTGAACGCTACCAAATCTTCAATGAACTGAACAAAAGAACTGCAACACTTATGACAGAGGACAATTGTTTCGTTTATGCTTGCATTCAGGCTGGAGTAAATGAAGAAACTATTGACCACATGAGAGAAGTCATTCGTGTTAGAGACTTTCCTCAAAGTAAAGTACAAGAAATTTCTGACGCAACAGGTATATCATTTAATGTTACCATTGGTTATTTCAATGAGTCAAGACATAATGAAATAAAGAGATATATACCAAAAGAATGCGAAACTGTTAGAACTATTGACTTACTTCTTGTTGAAGACCACTACATGCTAAATGAAAGATTACCAATGACAACATACTTCATTCGAAACTATAAAGAAATTCTCAAAGCTTGTGGTGGAATGAACATTGAGAAACAGATGAAGATTTATACAAAGAGAGAAGATAAATATGTAGTTCGTTATGATAGAACAACACCGTTATGGGATGTTATGAAAACATTGTGGGAGTGCAAATATTTCGAACCTATTTCTTATGGAGAACTTTTCACATATACTACTGACTTATATAAACAGAACCTTGCACCATTTAAAGATTTGACATATGCTCCAAAGTATTGTGTACAACTGAAGAAGAAAGCAGAGTCAAAAGAAGTAAATAAAGCTAAATGTAAATTCATACCTGAGCACGTTTTCTTTGCTGACTTTGAGTGTAGTACGGATGGCTTTCATAAAGCTTTTAACATCTGTTATGACAGTGAAGATGGTTCAGTTAGTGAAAGCATTTGGGGTCAAAACTGTGCAACAGAATTTTTGGAAAGACTTCCTGACAAGAGTTTAATATATTTCCATAACCTCAGTTATGACATAAACTTCATCTTAAGACACATGACAGAAGTGAAAGGAACTCCCATCATTAAAGGTTCACGAACAATGCAAATAACTGGCTTATATAAAGGACGGGCAATTATTATAAAAGACTCTTACAGTGTTATAAATAAGAAGCTTAAACTATTTCCTGCTATGTTTAACTTACAAACAGGACCGAAAGAAGTATTTCCATATAACTACTACAGCAGTGTTTTGTTAGCAAATGACAACAGAACTGGTGTCATTTCTGAAGCATGTAAGTTTATCCATGATGCAGATACATTTATGAAGAACATAGATTCCATCAAAGGTTGCAGAATAGATGAAAACCACTTCGACTTAGAAAAATATAGCACGTTTTACTGCAAACAAGATGTAAGAATTTTAAGAGAAGGTTTTGTAAAGTTCCGCAATGACTTATTGAAAGAGTTTGATTTAAACGTTTATGACTACGTTAGTATTTGTTCTATTGCTAACAAATTGTTTGAGAACAGAGTATACTTCCCGAATGGAAATCTTTATGACCTCTCAAATAAACCAAGAGAATTTATTTCGAGATGCATTCAAGGTGGAAGATGTATGTTGTCAGATAACATGAAACAAAAGAGCAAAAAGAAACTCATTGCTGACTTCGACACTGTTTCATTATATCCTTCAGCTATAGCAAGACTTTATACTTTAGAAGGTATTCCAAAAGTATTGAAGGATGAGATGTTAAGCACAGAGTATCTCATGAGACATTTATTCGATGATGACCAAAAGGAACCCATTGGTGAAAAGTTTATGTCTGGCTTCTTTGTTCTCATTAAGATAACAGAGATTGGTATACCCAGACACTTTCATTTAATAGTTTGCGACCCTGAACTAAATCCAGAACTTAACGTTCCAAGAAGTTCAAACACTTGCTGTCTCATGTATGTTGACCATATAACATTACAAGACCTCATAAAATATCAAGGTGTCAAATGTGAAGTGTTGCAAGGATACTATTACGATGGAAACAGAGATATGAGAATAAGAGATGAAGTAAAGAAGTTGTTTGAGTTAAGGTTAAAGTATAAGAAAGAAGAAAACCCCTTACAAGAAATTATAAAACTCATTCTGAACAGCATTTATGGCAAAACTATTCTATCTCCTATTGAGTCAAAAATAACCATAGTAAATGACAAAGATGCTATAAGATATGCTATAAGAAATTACAACCATATAGTGAAGTTCGAAGGTTTGGATGGTTCAGATAAAACTATTTTCAAGCTAACGAAAAGCATTTGCAGACACTTTAACTTCTGTCCACTTGGTGTTAATATTCTGTCTATGTCAAAACGTATTATGAATGAAGTATTCTGTACTGCAGAGGACATGGGACTTCAAATCTTTTACCAGGACTGTGAGTAGATGCATATATAATGAAGACATCCCAAAGCTTGCAGCAGAGTTTAAGAAGAGATAGGTAGCGAACTTATAGGAAAGAACCTTGGTCAATTTCATAGCGACTTTGCAGAAATAACACCTGGAAAACAAAGTTTAGCTTATAAAAGTATTTTCTGTGGAAAGAAGACCTACATAGACTTACTCACGAATGATTTAAATGAAGTTGCATTTCACTGCAGAATGAAAGGCGTGAAGCAAGATGTTATTGCTTTAACCGCTAATGAAATGTTTCCTGAAGCTATACAATGCTATTACAATGAAGATAAGAACATTCACATACCTGTTGGAACATATGACAAAGACTCTGAGTTCAGTTTAATGAAACTTTACAAAGCACTTTATGATGGTCAAGAGATTGCATTCGACTTATGTAAGTCATGTCAACCTTGCTTTGCTGAAAAGTTCAACTTTTCAATAACGACTAAAACAAGCTTTATTCGTAAGTTGAAGTTCTGAGGTCATTTATTTTTGTCAGCAATGAGGTCATGAATGAGGTCATGAATGAGGTCATTCGTGATAAAAATAAAGCTAGCGTAGATTTTACAATACTGCGATGGTAGAGTTTAAGAGTTGTGCTTCAATGTAGAGACAGTCCTTATGGTCTGGAGGCAAGAACACTGGACATTTATGGTCATGAGTGGAGAACATGTCTATCCAAAACTCACGATTGAAGCCAGTTAATTTATAGTATTTAGGGTTAGGAAGTGGTGAAGTTCTTGTATGACCAATGAACTCATTTTCAACTCCTTTACTTAAGTTTGAATATAATATAGCTTGCTTTCTATCCCAAATGCCAGGTGTTACAATCTTTGAAAATTCATTTTTCCTCGGAAGCATTGCATCATAATTGAAAACATTCTTAAAATCATCACTTGGTTCGGAGATTTGAAATCTTATACGTAATGGATTTTTTTTCTCTTTAGCGACTTCATTGAATGGTGAGAATACAATGAATTGACAGTCATGAGTTCCATCTTCATTTTCATTAAATTCATAATGAAAGTCTATAAGTTGTGGCTGACTACCTTCTTCTTTCAGTTGTGCAAGAAACTCACGTAAAGGCTGTAAAGTTTGTACTTCAATGTTGAACTTTTTCTCGAACATCTCATTAAATGAAATCATACATTGCAACAATGTTGTATCGTCTTTAAAGTATTTGTATATGTGAATGTTTGGGCGCTTAAAGACTGTTCGTCATTTTCTATCTCGACTTGAAGTATAAAGTCAACCTTTCTGAAAGCACGTGTTATATACATAGATGTTATGCCAATGTACTTCTCTTCATTTATGTTCACAATCCAGTCTGTTGGAAACTTAAACGTTACTCTGTTCCCCTTTATTTTGACGTCAGGGTTTTCACTACTGAACGCAACAGATAAAGGTATTTGTCTATACATTTAGTTCGGATAAAAATAAACCATTTACTCTTTCTTTGCTTCAGCTTCTTCTCTAGCTTTCTTTGCCAGCAAACGTGGGTTCTTTTGTCTTCCAGCAGCTAATGCAGCAAGTTGTTTTTCACTAAGTTTTCTCTTTGGTCTCTCTGGCTTTTGTTCTTGTTTTTGTTCCTTCAGTTCGGATAAAATTTTGCTCACGAATTTCTTTCTTCAATGCTTCAACATCTATGACACCTTGGGTCTTGTCCGTAGGGCTTGTCTGAGTCATTTGATTGCAGATAAAAAACAAAATTAAAACTTTAACCGATGTAAAATGAGCTTGTCAAAATCAGAGGCGAGAGTCTATTATATTAAATGACGCAAGAGGAATACAACATCCTTTCTATTACGTAAGTCAGAGTAAAGATGGTAAAATATACGTAAGAAAAAGAAAGGTACCATTAGCGAATGCAGAGAGCGACAACATTAAGGTGCATGGCAAGGGTGAAGTCCATGAAGTCCATATAAACCTTCTGTTCAAACTGAGCCACCAAAGAACAAGAAGAAAAGAAGCCAGATGTACTTTCAATAACGAACCAAGAGCTTATTGCAAAGTTCGTGATTTCATTGAAAAACAAACCGAGTCAAAGAACCTGACCCGCCAGTGAAAGAAGTTGAGACAAAGAGAATGTACAGTTCATTGAAAATGTCAAGAAAACAACTTCCACCACGAATGCCAAGAAGAAGAGTGAGAATAATGAAGTAAATAGATATTTTTATCTGAAGTAAATACATGCAGAACGAACAGCTAAACGAATTTACTCCAGCAGAGCATATTCATCAGATTCGCTCATATTTCGATATCATAGACAATGCAGTTCAAATTGGTGACACTAATAGAAAATATTCTGACGCAAAGATTCCATCACAACCTGGAACTGCTAAAGATAACACATGGGTAACATTCATCTCTCACCTCCTGGTGAAAATATGTTGGACCTTTACAATACATTCATTACGTATAAAATGGAAGGTCAATTTATTGTAGATAAAGAAATTGGTTCAGGTTCCAATAAAACAAACCCACCAGGATTTTGGATTGGTTTCGATGACGCTTTCTATGCAGTTGCTGGATATCAAATCCTTGCAAATGGTCGTATCGTATATTCTCAGACAACGCAAGAGAAGAAGCATATATAACTTCAAACTCACAAACTACCGAACAAATAAAGAAAGTAGATGTTTTTCTCAAAGACTCGACATGAAGATGTATGGAGTCATTCGGGAACATGCAGAACAGGACAAATTTTAGTGGTCCAATTACAGCAGGAAAATCATTTGATTTTAAGCTTCGTTTAAGAATTCCTGTTAGAAAGTTTTTACCATTAGAAGCTATAAGATTTATTCCAGCTTTTGCAGGAAACATTCAGCTTAAAGTAAAGTTCAGTAGCGACGCCTTACAATGCACATCTATATCTGTAAATGATATCATTGCTTTCAATCCAACTCTTAAAGTTGCATTTGCTTCAGATTCAAATCCACGACAAATAAATTTGTTCCATGGAATGAACCATTCACTATGATAACGAAGGCAGTAGAAGCTAGTGGAACAGTTATATTACAACTGTAACCCAGCAACTATTTCGAACAAAGATGGATTTTAATGAATGTTTCATTCATCCAAAGTCATTCTCTTTAGACCCTAACATTTATACAGAACTTGTAGAACATTATACAAACGAGGCTTTATGTTTTCCTGTTAAAGTTATGGATTGGATTCCTATGGACGGTTCATTCTCAAAGAATACAGATAGTTCAAGTGCAACATTTACAGCAGCTTATACGCCTATTAATGTTAAAAGTATTTGGGCACTATTTAGAAAGAAAGACAACTATTATGTTAATTTTGAGAACCCTAAGTTTAAATATCTTCAGCTTTCCATGGGAGCTTATGGAAATATGCCTGCAGAACCTGAAAAATCATATGACCTGTATTTTATGAAATGGTTGCGAACGCTTGCAATACAAACAATGATATGATAGGATTTAATGAAGATGTTATGAGGTCATTGGTGGATGATGGTAGTGTGGAACATAAATGGGATAGCTATGACAACACACATTTCTTATGTGGTTTTCCAACAGAAGTGGACTTTTGCTTCCAACAAGGTCAAACATCTACTGCTCCAATAACATACAATTGTCTGTTAAAGGACCTATTGAACTAGCAACTGAAAACGTACCAAAGCCACTTATTGGATTTATGAGGGATTGTTGCTTTGCCATTCAGGTGCGTGCTAATGGCATCCCATAATAAGATTAGATGACTATAACTTAGCCACGGACGACAGTGAGGAATAAAGGATGAACGTTTATTTTTAAAGCTTATAAATGAGTTCTTCATCAAGCTCTCGCGAACCTTCACCATCTATGAAACAAACTTTACCAAACGATTATGGAGCACCTATTGAATATTTCTTACGAGCTGCACAATGGCAAAGAGCAGTTTCACCAAGGTTAGGTGTTCCACCAGCTCCTGTCAAAAATAGCATTTGGTCAAGTCCTTATATAAGATATGGTCTCCCACTAGGTTTGCTAGCTACAGCAGGAGCAGTAATGATGTTGAAAAGAAACAAAGCAAATGTTATATAAATATACTGAAGTAGCTGAATTTGAACAAACTCCGACACCATCGCCAAAACCAACGCCTTCACAAGCAAAACCTTCAATAACTCCTGAACCTATGGAAGTACAAACTCCTGTTCAAAAGTCAACTCCTAAACCGACTCCAACATTTAAACCAGAACCCACGCCTCAAATAAATCGTAAAACTCCTGCGTTTCCTTACTGAAAAAATAACGTTATTTTTATTTAATATTAAAATTTTTATTTGATTGAAATGACGACTAAAGTCACTGAAGCAATGAAACAAAAGTTTTTGGTAGAATACATTAAATCAGGAACTATTCCAGAAGGTTTTTACATTCATACTATGAAGGATGGTAGAGTTCAGTTTAGAAAGATAAAGCAACCATTAGATAAAGAAGGAATTTTGAGAAAGATTAAACTTCATGAGGACAACATTGCTGAACTTAAGAAGAAGTTAGAAGAGTTGGAGAAAGGAAGAGAGTTATAAAGTAATGAATTCAAGTGGGTGAAAAAAGAGGTGAAAAAAGAGGTGAGATCTCACCACTTCACCTAAATTTATTTTTGTGCTATGTTTTCATACGTGTGAGGGTGGTGATATCATTAATTTTTAAGTTTATTTTTTATTTTACTGAAAATTTTTATTTGGATGTAAATGACAGAACAAAAGCAACTCATACAAATCGAAAAATATAACAAACATACATTTAAACATTTATTCTTCCTTCCTGAGCATAACATGTTCTTTCAAATACATCCGAGACCAGTTGACTTTTCATTGACTGTGTATAAAGATAGAAATAGTTATATCATTAAACCATACGATGACGAAGGTAAGTTATGTAAATTGTACGTTAAGAAGTTAGAGAAAGTTTATGGCTTCAAGTATGACTACAATAGGGTTAACACTGATGATGAAGATATTGAGGAAAATTTATGAGAACATTAGTGAAGTCGTTAGTGAGAATGATAGTGAGAACGTTTATTTTTACATTAGTGAGCTCGTTAGTGAAGTGAAGTGGGTGGCTTTGTAAAGTGTCAAATTCACAAGTATTGGGTAAGGTGGAACGCAGTGCCACCGTACCCAAGACTTGTATACTAACTAACCTGAACGGTTGATATAAATTAACACATGTGAATGGGGGGAAGTGTTAGCAATAATGATAATTTGTTTTAATATCGTTAATGTTTTACCTTTATTTTGTTTACCAATTGCTGCAGTGATTGAATTTAAGTAACATTCAGAATATGGAATTTTCATTAATTTTTCCTTAGATAGAGCATTTCTATTATCACTCAATGCTTCATTAATCATATCATCTACGTATGTATTATATACTCCTGCTAATTCTTCATAAGGGGTGGATGAATTTAAATCCATTTAAGGATACCCTTACATTGCGTAGTTAGAAAGAGAATATGATATTGTCATGATTGCTAAAGTTTTAGGCTCCAGAAATGAATATACATCAAACTGAAACAATTGAAAAATTGAATGAACTTTTGAGAGGTTCTCAAATAAAAAAAATTATCTAATTTTTTACAATATTACTATTATTTTATCCACATATGTATATATAGTAATTTGAGAAAACTTTTAGGAAAAAATAAGTTTAATAAAAATCTGAATTTTACTTGTTGTGGGATTGTTATTAATTGACACTCCAGACGTATTACTAATAGTTATGCGTATGCAATTAAAGTATTTCTGATGGACATAATGTGAGATTTATATCAGATAATTCATTTCTACTATTAAGTTATTCATTTATGAGTTTGCACTTATTCGCACTAAATAAATAACTATTAAAAATTGTTTTACTTAATTGACACCATATAATAGAGTGAATTTTGTTTGATCAAACAACAATAGATGATAGATATAAAGCCAAGAAACTTGCTATTAATATGCTCTACTTGCTATTTCAATGTAAGTATGATATTTTCTAAATGTTTCGTTCAGATAACTTAGATATATTAGTCAAAATTTGAAATTTTAATAGCACATATATTAAAAATAATTATTATTCATAAAAGATTAATGAATAGTAAAAAAATCAATCAAATTATAAAAATACAACATTTAGAAGAATTCTTATTATCCTTCAAAAAGTCAGTATTTCTGCTGTAATTTTCTACAACATTGTAGTTATTGCACTTTGTCTATGGATTTGTATATATGTTATATATAAATTATATATCTAAACTGCCCATAAGTGCAATTTTTATATAAATTGTTTATTTCTTTAACAATTTCATATGAATATGCTTTTTTAAGCGTATCAAAGCTGTGTTTTAATGTGCATGGATATATCAAGAAAAATGTCGAAAAAAATGTGAATTCACAAATTCACTGAATTTTCACCGTTTTTTGAATT